TTTTTTTTTTTGTTTGATTTTGTTGTTGTTGTTTGTTTTTTGTTTGTTTTTTTTGTTTCTCAAATCTTGTCTTACTAATGATGAGACTGAGTCTTCAGCTTCCAAACAGCTAGAGAAAGAGAGGTGAGAATGTCCCTTCAGCCCTGTTTTAGACTCATTCTTTTCTAGTATTTATCTGTAAATTTATGCTTTCTGCTAAGGATCTTATTTAGCTGTTACCTGTTTTCAATGAGATTGAAAAAATGATACCATTGTTGTGCACTTAGAGTCTTTCAGAAGCTATTGGAGGTGGGGGAAGCAGGGGGAAAGAAGGTTGTGTGTCGTGTCAAAATTCTAGTGTGGTATGAGTCTCTTTTATGAAATCAACATCAAGAATAAATTGATTATCTTTGTTCTCGCTGCTGGTTAGGGGTTCTCTTATTTGAACCCATTAGGTTTACTTTTTTCATCTTACCCAATGAGAAAACACCCTGGTCACAGAGGAGTTTGCTATGGAGCAAGAAGACTGAAGTGAATATAAAGTACTGGACTACAGTTTGCAGAAGTTTAAAATTAATGTATCCAGCAATACTTTTTCAAAGCTTTAGTTTTGGTGGCAAGACAAATTCTTTGACTAGTTGTTTTATTTATTGGCTGTAACAGTTTATGACTTTTACGGTTGTGTGGCTGTAACGGAGACTGTGCCTGAAACGAAAATTGGTCACTGATGTTCTGTCCTTAACCAGCAGCAAAGATAATAGCAGACATGTCACACAGGTAGGAAGCAGCTGAATGAGAAAACAGGTAGAGTTATCTTAGAAGATAGGAGATAGCTTTTGGAAAGAGTGTGAAAATTAAAACTATGGAGACTGTATGGAGATCACTTCAAGATGCTATATTGGAGAAATGGGTGCAAACTGCTCAGTTAAAAATAAGATTTCAAAAAGTCCAGATGAAAACCAGCGTGGCTAAACAACAGTGAAAGACTAGTACTAGAAGTCTTTATTCAAATGGGCAGATTAATAGAATGTCTTTCCTAAGTGGAATTAGTAAATATAATAGCTATGTTGTGGCAGATTTTTATAATGAAAGATCATACATCAGAAAACCTTGGAGCTTTCTGTGTAAGCAAACAAGCACATAACAAGGAAGCCCTGATTCATGTGTTTGAATTCTCTTGAATATCCGTACAGAAGTGATTTCTTACCAAGCACTTTTGGAAATGCAACTGTCTTTGTAAAGATGGAAAGTCCTTGTTGAGGAAGTAATTAGTTGAAGAATGAAAAATAAGTCCAGAGTTCCAGAGACTAGTTCCAGAGACTGTGCTTTTTGACAGAATTAGGAATTTGCCTAAAATGAATGGTAACTAGTAAGGTGACAGTTTGCTGATAATATGAGGAACTGGAGAAGAGTTTTAAGTGCTGAATGACTGAGGAATAAACGTGRCAAGTGAAACTCGTGGTTATCTACAAAGCAGTATGCATGAATACAAAAATCACAACTTGATCAGAAGGTAAAACTGACTCATCACTCAATAAAGTTTTGCATGGTTTTAGTAGGTACTTTTGAGGAAACATTGATAAAGCAGCAGTTGAAGAAAGCAAGTGAAAAACTATTGGAATAAATTAAGAAACTGATAAAAACTTTACTATGAGACACCAAGCTCATAGGAGGTCACAAGGTTGCATTCATTGCTTCTGCCTGTCTGGCATCAGGGTGATAAGATCATAGCTTAGCAGTGAAAACTAAGCTGATAGCCAGTTGTGAAATTTTTTCTTCCTTAACTAGAAAAATTTAGCTGGGCATCATGTTTAAACCATTTTTAGTTAAATGAGTTAGATTTGTAAGGAAAGAACTTTCTCATGTCTGAAATTACTTGTCCTCTGTGTAGGACTGATAAACCCTTAGCATTGAAGCTTGTAACATGTTTTGAAAACATGCTAGGTGTGTGTATCTTTCCATGGAATATTTGTGTCTTTCAGCTGAATATTAAAATCTGTAAATTGTGCAAAAAGTTGTCTTGAACTTAGTGATTCTCCTTTCGATTTATAGGTAAATGGGTCCTACTTTATTCATAACAATTAAATACATGAAGCTTATCTCTAAGTCTTAAAAAGCAGGTGTCGTAGGCATTATGTCATTTTATAACCTTAAAAGTAAATCAGATGTGGATTGAAGAATTTATGTTATTAATATAGTTTTTTACATAAATAAGAAAAATTAAAATGTCTTAATGCTAGATTTTTGGGTTTTGATTGCTTCCTTTTTCTGAATTATTAGCTAACCTCTTTTAAATAATGTAAATGTTCTTCATAATAGAAGTGAGATTTAATGTTGAGAGAGCATCAAGTAAACCTTTGCAACCAGATGTTTCCCTAGAAAAGTTAGTAAACTCTGCTATAATAAAAAAATGAATATAGGAAATTGAAGAAGCATACAGATCAAGATGTGCGTAACAGTGCTTACTTGCTTCGTTATATTCTGGATAGATTTTTCTGTAATGTTAAGAGCAATAGTTACGTTTTGTATTTAGCAAGCACAGAAACATATAATGGAAGCTCGTTTCATACATATATGTATGAAACATAGAATGGAAGCTTATGGAAAATACAATAATCTTTTTTTGAGAAGTGCTACTGTTTTTATCTTTGTTTGTTTGGGGGCTTCCAATTTTTCTCCATTTAAGCATTTCCTAAATGGTATAATTTTAAATGACTAGTCCTAAATTGTGATACTTTATATTAGCAAGAAACTTCAAATTAGAATTTGTATTTGTTAACTGAAGAAGAATCTAGGCGTTTTCTATTATAAAGATTATGGTTGAATTTGCCAATTGTAAATAGAGAAACATAGTATTTTGTCATAGAAATTTTTATGCTATCTCCCTGAGCGGAAAAATAAGCTAAAATAATTAGTTGAGAACTTCAGCTGTATTAAAAAGACATCATTTTGTTTCAGAGGTAACTGAATGTTACCGTGGTAATTATAGTTCAGTTACCGTGGTAATTATAGTTCAGTTATTGTGTTTTAAATGCTAAGCAAATTCATAAGTGAGTCTTAATGTGTTTCATGATAGTTTAGATCTTTGTTTTCAGGGTATCTTCTTTTTTTTTTTTTTCATATCTGCATTCCCTTTTTCTCATACTTATTTCTCTTGCCTTCCCTGACTTTTTTTCATAAATATTCTACATTCATTAGTCAAAATAGGACTGTTAAGTGACTTCTGTAGCTCTGAGTAAGTGACGCTTGGATTTTTTTCTTCTGTTTATAGAAGAGGTGGAAGGAGAGAGAAAAAAGGAGAGTGAAGATAAAGAAGAGGCCCACAAAGAAGAAAAGAAACAAACAGAGAAAAGTATGTAATGTTAAAACAATGTTTTAACATAACGTTAATGTTTCACTGGGTGGTACATCCTAGAATCATTAGGTTTGGAAGGGACCTTTGATGATTATCTAGTCCAATGCCCCTGTTAAAAGCCAGGTCAACTAGAGGAGTTTGCTCAGAACCATGGCCTGATAGGTTTTGAGTATTTCCATGGATGATGATTCCACAGATTTCCAGTGTTCTGCTGCCAGTGTTTGAGCACCCTTACAGTAAAGTTTTTATATGTTTGGGTTGAAATTCCTGTATTTCAATTTACATCCATTTCTCTTGTCTTGTCACTGCTACTCACTGAATCTTGCTCTTTGTTCATTCCTCATCTGTTAGGTAAATTTACACACATAAAATATCCCATAATAGCCTTCTCCAGTTGAACAATTCCAGATCTTGATGAATGTGCCAATCTCTAAAACATCCTGGTGACTCCACATGGTACTCTCTCCAGTATGCTCATTTATTTTTTGTATTTAGCCCAGAACTGGACAAAAGACTCAAGGTTCAGGCTCATGTTCCCTGATTAGAGGGGATTAAGTACTTCCCTCAGCCCACTGTCAGTGTGCATTCTCAGGCAGCCAAGAATATTGTTGGCCTTCTTTGCCAACAGGGCACATTGCTGGCTCGTGTTCAACTTCATGTACATGAATGTCACCAGGGACTTTTCTGCAATGCTGTTTTCCAGCCAGTGAAGTTCCAGCCTGCACGAGTACATGGTTTCATTGCTATCCATGTGTAGTACTTGGGCATTTCCTTTTGTTAAACTTCATGAGATTCTTGTTTGCCCATTTCTCCAGTTTGTTTGTGTGACTCCACATGGCAGCATAGCCACTTAGGAGTGTACAAATCACTCCTTCCAGTTTTGTATCATCTGCAGGTTGCTGCGGATATGCTCTTACCCCATGTTGTGGGTTGACCCTGGCCAGATGCCAGGTACCCACTAGGTTTCCCTATCACTCCCTTTCCCTCTGGGACAGGGGAGAGAGTAAGATGGTGAACAGCGAGCAGGGTGAGATAAAGTAGTTTTATTACAGCAGAGATACAAAAATAAGCAAAGATTGCATGCGCAAAAGCTAAAGGAAGAAAAAATAAATCAATCTCTACTTCCCATTAGCAGCGTTGTTGGGACACTTCCTGGGAAGCAGGGCTTCAGCACGCGTAGTGGTTGCTCCGGAAGGCAAACATTAAAAACTCATGAATGCCCCCCCTTTCCTCCTCTCTCTCCTCGCTTTATATATCTGAGCTGACATCATATGGTATGGAATATCCCTTTGGTTGATTTGGGTCAGCTGGCCTAGTCATGTCCCCTCCCAGGATCTTACACACTCCCATCCCTTTGAGGGGGAGAGAATGTCAGAGGGACAGCACTGCTTGGCAATAGCCAAAACACTGCTCTGTTATCAGCTCCCATCTAGCCACTCATGCAAAGCACAGCACTGGAAGGGCTTGAGCTTTACCTCAGTCAGACCCAATACACCCCATTATCTACATCATCTATTAAGATGTTAGTGTTGGTACCAGTAGCATCTGCTGGTGTACATTACTGAACTCCAGCTGGACTGTGTGCCAATAATGACGTCTCCTGATGCCCAGTAGTTGAGCCACTCCAGTTATCTAGGCTGTACATCATGAATTTGTCTCTGAGGATGTTTTGGGTGTTACTAAAGATGCTCTCCTCTCATCCACCAAGCTGGTTGTCTCACTGTAGAAGGCTATCAGGTTGATGATGTGTGGTTTCCCCTTGATAAATCCATTCTTTTCCCCATCACCACCTTCTTTATAGGCTTAGAGATGATTTCTATCTACACTTACTTGCTCCATCATRTTCCCAGGGATTGAAGTAAGGCTGATAATCCTGTAATTCCCTGGGTCCTTATTAAATAATCTTCCTGAAGATTACTTAAAAGCAGATGTTCCTCTTGTCCTCAAGAACCTGCTAGGCACAGTGCCAGGAGCTGGAGGAGTGAATGAGATTTCTGGTTCTTTTGTGCTTCATCCCTGACTTTTATAATATAGTTCTGTTTTGAGCCTGTTCTTCTGTTAGGTTTTTACTTTCCTTCTTATCTTCTTTCACAAAAAATAAGAAAGTTTTAATTTTTTCCAGTCAGATGTAGGAGGTATGAGTTAAAACTTCATGGCAGATAAATACGATTAATTATTGGACAGCTAAATGAGGTTTAGTTTTATTTAGATGAAATTCTGAGAATTCCTTTTTTCAGAAGATTTTATTTCACTTCTCAGAAGTCATATTTCCTTATAGGATGGTGGAGAGGAGTTTTGGAAAGGGGAATGGTGGTACTAGGACCATTTTGCATTTGGGGCAGCAGTGGGTGAATCACAAAGGAGAATTCACTAAAAGGGCAGTAATGTACGGATACCAAAAAGACTAGATTTCTGCTTTGCTGTCATCAAGCATCTTTTTCCAAAGGTCTTCTTACTGGTTTAGAATGAAAAAGTTTAAACTGAGGACAACTTCATAGTAATCATGGCATTCTGAAGATACCTGTTTTTTCAGGAGTTCCTCATGAGTAGTTGTATCTAATTGTTCCAGGTGAAGCATCAAAGAGAAAACGTTCCAAATCTGAGGACATGGACAATGTTCATTCTAAACATCGTCGGTACATGGGAGAAGATTATGAAGCAGAACTCCAAGTAAAAATTACAGCCAGAAAGGATGTTGACCAAAAATTACAAAAGGTAGAATAGAGATGCAGAGCAAAGAATATATACACACACCTGTCACTTGTGTTACCATCTTTGAATTAGCTGTCCTTCCCCACACACTCCTTATGTCCCCAAACACCTTCTCTCTTTTGTGGTTGAACATCGGATGTAATTCAAGTAACAAAGGTACTTAATTCATATGAAGTTCTACATAACCCTCCTTTTAAGAAGAGGCCAAATGCCATTTGAAAATTGTGCTGCAGGAGTTGTATTTCAAATGTATAAAATACTTAATGTCTCTAGACTGAAAATGTTGGCAAAGGACATATTTCACCATGGTGAAGTTTGTATGCGATGCACTTCATTGTGTGCCTACCTTTAAAGAAAGTCTGTCTCCAAACAAGAGTGTAATCAGCCTGACACTTTGCAGATTTTTGTAGAGCTGTTAATAGCCTGGTTGCAGCACTGCTGTACAAGGAACCTGTGGACTTGAAGAAAATTGTGTTATTCTTCCATTAGTTAGTTAGCTGGCATGTGTTGTAACTTCATTAATTTAGGATGGCAAAAATGGAACCACATTTGTTGTTTATTTTTTTACTTTTTGCACTGCAATAGCTGTAAAAGGGAGAAAAACATAATAACTTAATCACGTAAACTTTTTGAAAACCAGTGTTCTTATGTTTTTAGCTTCTGCAAGGAAGTCAATACTGCATTTTTGCTAGGGGAAGATACATCTCAGAAAAAAARGTTTTGTTGAATGTGTTTAGTTTGTGTTCTTTGAATGCCGATGTCTCTCTCAAGAACAGAAAAGTAAGAACAATTAATTTGTTAATTTGCAGTAAACACTGCACTTAAAGAAAATATCTTCTGTTGTTAAGGTTCTTTTCATATATAGCAACATTTTATACACTTACCATACTGCAAGGAAATAAATTTCTTGAATTAGTGGCAAACCATTTGTATTTTCCAAAGCTTCTGGAAAAATGTCAAAAACCAAAAAATATGTCAAAATGTCTTAGTTTTACAACCACATGCTTACTGGTGAATATCGATTTATTTGATTGATAGGGCACAACAGTTGTTATTGTTCTGTTAATAGCAGGATATTTGTTAAGAGTTGAGAATATTTTTATAGACAATCTCTCAAATTTTGGGATTGCATTGTTGGGTTTTTTTTTAATGTAACAATTTTGCAGATTATCCAGAGACTTTTAGAAGAGAAATTTACCGCTTTTCAGTGTGCGGTATTTGACAAAACTCTGGCAGACTTGAAAACCCGAATGGAGAAAGTGGAGTGCAACAAGAGGCATAAAACTGTGCTTACTGAAATGCAGGTGGGTGTTCATGTGTTCAGCTGCATACTAGGGTCAAATTAAAAAATAACTTCCTCAATATTTAGTAGTAAGGTTCCTGCACTTGCCAGTGGGGAAGCTATTTTGACTCCACAAGGGGAGGAAGTGGTGGGGGTGTAGCAAATACTAATGGTCCTTTTGAGTTGTGAAACTGTATTTTGCTGTCAGAAGGAGGGAAACAACCAGTTAATCATACAGAAAACCCACAGTGGATCTTCCTTCTGGCAAACTGACTCATTAGCTGTTAGGAGACTGTTTTTCCACTCCTCTGTTCCATTTAGACATTTTTCAAAAAAGTGCTAAGCATGAAAATATCTAAAGTGTTTATGAAGCTGGAAATTTGCCTAAAAATGGAAACATCCAAAAAGGAGGGGACAATAGCACTGGACTTGCTATATCACACATTGTTTCCCCAGAAAGTAAATAGTTGATGAAGCAAACAGCTAGTGTTGAATGCAGTATACTTTCCAGCTTTTTTATAGAAAATATATACATAGTGTTGACATGAGGAATATCACAAAATTCAAAGATTTTTGAACTGACAACACAATTAAAAGCTTACATTACTACAAATTCAAACAATAAGGCCATTTTACTTTTTGCATTAAGAGAAATATGGAGTTTTCCAGACCAGTTCCTACTATACAACTTTTTCCTGTTGTTGCCACAGCCATTTTATGTTGACTTTTAAAGTGTTTCAAAGACACTTTCAATATTCTTGTTTACCACTATCTTTTGCCATCAAATAGTGTCAAATTAATAAAATCATGTAAGGCTTTAATTGATGTTGCTTTGTGTGAACATGCAAGATAGATAGTTTGTGCAGTTGAGGATAGGAAGAAATTAAAGTTGTCTCTAAGACACCTTGATTGTGATGCATACAGTCTGCTATAATATAGTTGAAATAACATAGTTGTATTGTATTTCAAGGAAGAATGATTTCCCTGGTATGAAAATTGACTTTGATATGATGTTTTAGTTATATATCTTTTAGTCCGCATAATTTCTTTGATCCACTTGGGGGGATATTTACATTTTTTTTGTTTTCATCTTCTTCCTGTTTAGGCTAAAATTGCAAGATTGACAAAGAGGGTTGGAGCAGCCAAGGAGGACTTGAAGAAGAGACAGGAAGTAAGAACTAGATTTTTTGGGGTTTGGGGTTTTTTTTCTCAGTTAGCCTAAACCTTGTGTTGAAAAATAAAGAAAATTTATATTCAATGGCATTCTCAAAGCAGGTTTGTCTGGTTTGCTTAAAGAAGTCTTAACATCTCTTATGTAATTCTGATTTGTACAGAAGCTTCTTTAGCCACTATTAAAGACACCTTAAACTGCATAYGACTGAATCTAATTTATTTCAGTATGAAGAGTAAATAAAGCATAAATAACAGTGAATCCCACTATGATTCTGAAGGAGAGGGGGAAGAGGAAGGAAATTAATCAGGAGAAGGAGGCAGTAGGACCAAGGAGATTTGGGGCGGTTGTCAAAAATGTCAAATTCTCCTACAATGTTGGCTTCAGAAAATGATTCTTTCACACAGCAGTGAATGGATATGAAATAGAATGAAAGTATAAGTTTGCAAGCTGACTTAAAGTTTCTCTGTTACGGCCT